CTCCTACTACTCACATTACACAGCCTGATGGTCCCCACATAGCCACTGCGCCTCATCCAAACATTGTTCTACACCACAGTCAACTTCTGCCCACATATCGGCACCTCCCTCTTATGCGTGTAGCCCTCCTTCTATGGAGGATCTGGAAATGGAAGAAGGGCAGATTAATAATGACATGGGTCAGAGCCAACTGGGAACCTCTGCAGCAGAGAAGTCATCCTCCTCCCATGATGAGGCGATCATCCAGGATGACACATCACCCACTGATGATTTAAAGCAATTTCATGATCTTTTCAGATGGATTGCTACTAGCCAAGAGGTGAATCTATGGGACGTAGACTCTTGAAAAATCTACAGCCATCCGCAAAAACAAAGATCGCACTCCCAATGGACAAGGCCATCGTGGAGGTGGTGGATGAGGTGTGGCAGACACTGGTCTCGGCTCTTCCTACTAATAAATGCGCAGACAGGAATATTTTGTTCCTTCAAAAGGCATGAACTTCCTATTTCTTCATCCACAACTCAACTCTCGTGTTGTCAATGCAGCTAACCAGAGATCCAAAATCCCACAGTATAAGTTATCTTGCCACAACAAATGGCTAGACCTTTTCGGCAGAAAAATGTACTTATCATCCACACTACAACTACGCATAGCAAGTTATACTGCTCTGCTCACCATCCACGACTTCGCCATCCACAGCTTTGATAATGATGCCAACTTGACTGAAGTAATGCAACACCTATCTGATAACAAAAGACCGATCCTGAAGTCCATAGTTTAGGAGGGATACGACATCCCATACTGCCCAGCAGATAGCATTGGATGCTGCTGACACAGCAGCACAAGCAACAACTACACTAGTAGTTATGACACGTACTTCATGGTTGCAGGATGCAGGTGTTCCCAGAGACCTACAAACAAAGATAGACGACTTACCGTTTGACAAACAAAAACTGTTTGTGGAGCGCACTGATGAAGCCCTTCATTCCAGTAAGGACTCACTCACAACACTGCACACTCTGGGTATATACACACCACCATACCTCTGGAGACTATACCCTCCCTATCAGAGACAACCCTTTTATAGATAACAGCAATGACTCTTGGATCAGAATTGGCTCAGGATGAAAAATCAGCATCACCGTGCTCCAAACAACTGAGTGTCCACTCAACATCCCTCCAGGCAGCAAGTTTAAGGTTTTGGTTGAGGGCCAGCACAACCTCCCCACTCTTCCAGTGCCTCACAACCGAGTGACTTTCCATCATTGCCTGCACCCTTTTTTCCACCAATGGGCAGCAGTCACCACAGACGTTGGGTGCTGGATATAGTAAAATGCGGATACTCCATCCCTCTTCTATCAAAGCCCCCACCCTGCCCTCTTCAGGGACCCCTCTCACGAGTCCCTGCTTTGTCAAGAAGTGGACCATGTTCTACACATAGAGGTCATAGAGAGGGTGCCTGAGCAATACTGGGGTAGGGATTCCTACTCAAACTGTTTACTTACAGAAAAGAGATCTGGGGGTTCGAGACCTACGCCACCTAAAGAAGTACCTCTGCAGGCAATGATTCAAGATGATTACGCTCACATCCATCATTCCTGTAGTAGAGGAGGGGGACTGGTTTGCAGCCCTCGACCTGGAAGATGCTTACGCTGATATAACTATACACACAGCTCACAGGCACTTTCTTCGCTTTGCGATCCGCTCGGACCATTTTCAGTACCGAGTCTGCCCTCCGGAGTCTTTTTGAAGACCGTAGACATGGTAGCAGCGCACCTATGAAATGAGCGTTTCATGTTATTTCCTTAGTTTGACGACTGCCTCCTACGGGATCTATCCCAACAAGCGACTGCACAAGCGATACAGTCTACCAAGAAGCTGTTTGAATCTCTTGGCCTTATTATAAATGACTAGAAATCCACTCTGTGCTCCATGTAGTCATTGGAGTTCTATGCTCCACGTAGTCATAGGAGCTCATCTCAATTCCACCACTGTTAAGGCATACCTTTCCAGTCATCAATTTGAATCCATAATAAACCTTATAACAATTATAACAACTAGCCCTACTGTCACAGTACTAATCTGCCTTCGACTTATGGGCCACATGGCTGCCATGACTTACATAGTATTATACGCATGCCACCACTTTCACTGCCTTCAACATTGGCTCTCCTCGGTCTATACCCCAGCCAAATACCACCTGCAGAAACGAGTATTCATCCTTGTCAACGTACTCACCTCCTTACAATAGTGGACCAATCCAGGAAACCTCCTACAGGAGGGTTCCCTTCCAGTTCCAATCCTCTACCCAGATCACTACAGATGCTTCCCTCCTCTGGTGAGGTGCACACATGCAAGGCCGTTTTGCTCAGGGCAGATGGTCGGATCAGCAGTTCTGATGGCATATCAATCTCTTAGAACTATGTGCTGTGGGCAATGCTTGCAAACACTTCGTCCAAGATATCTGAAGCTGTACAATATGCATTTTAACAGATAATACCACCTCCATGTTTTATGGAATTGGTGTGTCCCAACAGCGTTACTCTTGTTGCGTTGTATCTCCCAGGGATCAGCAACACGACTACAGATGCTCTAAGTCGTCATTTCATTACAGCCCACGAATGGGAACTTCACACAAATATCCTACACATGCTGTTCCGCATGTGGAGTTACCCAATGGTAAATCTTTTTGCAACGTACCAGAATTCCAAGTGTCCCCAATACTGCTCCAGAATGGGGATAGGTCCGTGATCTTTCAGAGATGCCTTTCTCATACAGTGGCAGGCTCACCTTCACTACGCTTTTCCTTTGATTCCTCTCATACCCAGAGTATGCAGAAACATCGAACAGGGCAATGCTCAGGTCATTTTTATAGCCCCTGCCTGGTCAGACAGACTTGGTTTCCTTATCTTTATCGAATGTGTTGTCAACCTCCCTACCCCCTTCCAAGTTGACGAGATCTCCTGTTCCAGAATGCGTACAACCTTCTCCATCCCCAACCAGAATCACTATATCTGGATGCATGGCTTCTGTCTGGCTCTTGGAGATGGGAAAGCGCTGTTTTTAACAGGTGAAAACAGTCCTGATAAACAGTAGAAGACAGTCTACACATAACACTTACTTCCACAAGTGGAATTGCTTTGTAGCGTGGTACAACAATAACAATACTCCTCCGAAGGCTGCCCCGCTACATATGGTGCTGGACTATCTTATGCAGCCCAAGGACCAACGTCTGTCACTCTCCTCCCTCAAGTGTATCTTGCTGCACTGACGGCTTTCCACCTGCCCACGGACGGATATTCGATATTTGCCCACCTAGTCTCAAAGAGATTCATTAGAGGGCTGCATAATCTTTTTCAACTGCCCAGGCCCTTAAATTCCTCATGGGATCTGCGTCTTGTTCTGAACACACTGACGGGAACTCCATTCGAGCCTCTAGCTACTTGTTCCCTCCCATTATTAACATCAGATACAGTCTTTCTAACTGCGATCACATCAGCGAGGCGAGTGAGCAAAATTGCGCCTCTCATGGCAGAACCACCCTATACAATGTTTTACAAGGACAGAGTGGTCCTCTGATCTCATCCTTCCTTTCTACTGAAAGTATGCTTGGAGTTTCATGCAAGCGAACTGATTGTTCTACCTGTATTTCACTCAAAGCCACATGCTTTTCTCAAGGACACACAGTACTACACACACTAGAAGTCCGTAGAGCATTAGCATTCTATATCGACCGCATACATACAACCCGTCTGTAAATCACAGTAATTATTCCTCTCCCTTACAGAGCGATGGCCTGGTACACCACTATCCTCACAGCGTATTCCAAAATAATTACATCTTGTATTACCCAATGTTACTCTTTGCACAGCAGACATCTTCCTCCAACCTCAAGAGCTCACTCTGCACAGGCCATGGCTGCATCAACTGCCTTCCTCAAGGGGGGCCCCCTTAAAGATATCTGTGCAGCAGGTACGTGGGTGTCCAACCACGCTTTTGTGAGACACTATGCTATCATCCCTCAATAGGAGAGGAGTTCTCCCATAGCCCAGGCAGTCCTTGAATCTGTGCATACCTCATAATCCAAAGTCCACTGTCCTTACTGTGGGTACTGCTATAGAGGCACCACTGCTCCCACTGTGGAGCACTCACAGGGACATCACTCAGAAAAGAAAGGGAAGTTATTCACCTTGTGCAGTAACAACAGTTCTTCGAGATGTATGTCCCTGTGGGTGCTCCATGACCCACCATTCTATTTCTGCTCTTCGGATATATCTTACAATGACAGGTGGTTACGATGAAAACTGAGGAGAATCGGGCCATGTGTATGAACTTCAAAGGCGTGAACCTGCACACGCAGCGTATGAGCATGCGCGGCTCGACCAGATACTGCTTGAAAAATCTCCAATCTGCAGTGCTGGGACGAGCCCGACACCAACCGTAGAGCACCCACGGGGGGGACACATATCTGAAAACGGTTGTTACTACACAAGGTGAGTAACTTGCCTATATCACATTCTCACAAAAGGAAAAATCTTTTTTGTTTTTTTATTATAAGTTACCAGGTGAGAAACTAAGCATAATTTAATGTTAAAAGATTTTTTTTTCCTTTTGTGGAAACCATATTTGCAAATTGACAGGTTCTAGATGTCAGTCTGAGAGTAGTTGACTTCTGATATGTTTGGGATAGTTGAAACAAAAAACAGGACTATGTAGCACTTTAAAGACTAACAAGATGGTTTATTAGTCTTTAAAGTGCTACATTCCTGTTTTTTGTTTCAGCTAGACCAGACTAACACGGCTACATATCTATTACTATTTGGGATAGTTGACTTTTTTAATACTTCAAACAACATTGTCATTGTCAGTTTTTGTCAAGCTCTCAATTAAAAGCTTTTTTTTGATCAGCAAGACATTTTTTATCAAGCCCAGTTGAAATGGATTGTACCATAATTTATTAAAATGGTTCCTTTTTTACATACATATCTTCTCTTTTTAGAAAAAGAGCAAACGGGGATCTAATAGGTCATATGATCAAAGTTTAAGTGATTCTTCCTCTCACTCTCAGGATAAACATCATGAGAAGGAGAAAAAAGTAAGTGGATTTGTTGTTGCTAATTATGTGGCACATCTGCTTAATAATAGCACCTTGTAAATATTTCATTTAGTTATTGCTAAAAGATATGGAGAAGATTTGTTTCTGAGATGTAGAATATTGAGAGTAAATAATGAAGATGGTAAACTATAGGTAATATAGAACCTAAGGGGAAGCTTTCTATTTGGGTACACTTGTGTATATACACTTTCCCTTTTCTCCCTCCTCTAACTTAGCTCCCTGGAGGCAAGAGTAGAGAAATTGTTGGGGAAGTGGTTGCATGTGGTTTCCTTCATCTTTAATGAAAACTAAAAGATTTTTTTTTTGGTGATATCTTTGTTTGTTTGTTTTTGTTACTATAAAAAGACAGTTTTAAAACACATATTGGTAACCAGTCGCATTAGGTGCAGTAATTAAATACCTCTTATTTTTTTGTTTTTTCCCTTCATCATTGGATAAATTAGGTTTGAGGTTAGCAAGATTGCTTGTTGGCAGATTATTTTGAGAGGTACAGTTAAGCCCACTGTGATGGCAGAATGACGTGTCACATGGGAATTTGAATTTTTTTTAAATATAAAGAGCATGATTAACATCTAATTTGAATCCTTGTTGACTTACTCTTCTTATACTTTGATTTTAGATAGTTTAGGGAAGAAGGTTGATTCTATATTGGTAAGTGAATGCTTGCAAATTTTTGGCTCACGCTACCAAATTCACAATTATGTAAGGTCATTTTGCTGTCTGAACATTGTAGAACAAAATAGCAGATAATTACATAATAATGCAAACCTACTTGCATCCCTAGGGATCATAAAAGTGACAGTTTACAGGTACAAACCCTGTATTCCTATTTTTTCTTTTTTTAAATTTAATCTTTTAAAATTTTGAATGAAAAGACTTGAAATTTCATATTTATTCAAAGGATGAAATAAGAATAAAATTGAGATATATAAACATGTTTCTTTATTAAATATGTTTGTTTATGGTATTTAGAAACTACAGTTTTAATAGCAGAGAGAAGAAATTTGAATGAATAGTATATAGGGTCTTTCCTCAGAGAGAAATTTTGTGGATTTTTAGATCTGCAAGCACATTTTCACCATGTCTGAATTAGGGATGTTAAATATTGGTTAATTGAATAGTCGAATAACTAAGAATTCTTGTCAGTTATTTGACTAATCTGTAGTCTCTGGGGGCAGGGCTGGCAGCCAGTATGCTCCAGCTTCACTCCTGAGGAGCCCCCTGCCACTCTGTGCTGCTGCCTTTGTATCAGAGGCAGCAGTGCAGGGTGCCAGGAGGGTGCTGGACCACAAGGGGAGCCAGTTTAAAAACCAGCTTCCCTCGCAGACCAGCTGCCTGTCGCCCTATGCTGCTACCTCTCATAAATAGGCAGCAACGCAGGGGGGTAGCAGCTCCTGTCTAAGGGGGTCTGAGCTCCTGTACCTGGTGCGAGATAGAACTGAGCGGGGCTGCCTGCCTGCCTGCCCAGCTCCTAATACACTTTAAATACAGAGCTCTAGCGCGGACCCATTTCAAGCCAGGACTGAGCCAGACTGTGGCCAGCCTGCTGCTAAATTTACTGGCAAGGGTAGGGGAAATGCGTGTAGTCTATAGCATTAACCTATAAGCTTTTACTTATCGGTTAATCGACTACACTATTACAACCCTAGTCTGAATGTGCTTCCTAGTTTTCCTCGAGATTTTTTTAAACATTTAATCTTGGCTGTGCTTTGTCTGAATAATTACATTAACTACTTACCCTTTTACCTCACCTGGCACCTCTGCAGGTAACTTGATTCAGATGTATTTTTTCTCTCTAAACTAACTTTAAAAATTAAAAAATACATTATGCCAGAAAAGAATTTGATTTTGGGAAATAAATCTGAAATCTGTTAGAAAACATTTTGATGTCTACTTGCGACATTTGCTTTGTAGGCTTTTGCAGTGGAGGTATTATGGATAGTGTAACATTAGGACTGGAAATATTAGCACATCCTAATTATTTATTGGACGGAAACTCAAAAACAAAGTCTTAGAATAAATATGGATGACAAAACTTTTATAAAGTGAAAGCAATTAATATTTGTCTTGCTATTAGCTGAAGTCAGTAGTAATATCACTATTTGTTTGTCTATCATGTTGCATTTTACAATTTTTCAGAATAGGGGTTGATCAATTTAGTCTATTTACAATAGAACAAAGCTGACAACTCAAACATGCTACTTAATTTTTAAAATGTAAATCAAATTACTCTCCTGTAATTATTAGGTGTGAACATGGGTCTGATTTATAGCTGTTAAAACTTGAGCAGCATTGAAGAGAAGTGAGAGAGGCATTGCCTGGAGGGTATTATGCGTATTAAACTCATATGTCTAGTCCTTGCGGGGAACACTAGGAAGGGCACCTCTTGCTACACCTATTCAACAAGTATAGCCAGCACTTCCTAGCACAGCTGCTCAATACTTGCCACACCTAGCATCTCTTCTGTCTGTGGCAGTTAATTCCACCAGCTCCACTATTATTTATATTTGTACTTCCCAGTTCTGGGAGTTGAATTGTATTTGCTCCCTTTCTAGATGTACTGAGAAAAGGAGATAAAGGTTCTGTGAACCTTGCCTTCAGTACTACCCCAGAGGCAGAATTAAATCCACAATATCTGTAAAACAAAGCCAAGCAGTTCTGTTAATTTGATAGTTATCTACTATTTTGGTATTTGAAAGGTTCTTCATATTGTAAATGGGATAGTTATTTCATACATCAATCTTTGTTCACTTTACATATCACATATTTGTAAAGCACTTTCACGGTTAAGACCACAGATCACAAAAAAGGTAGTTTACTATAGTTAACTTTTTCATAGGTGTATTTTTTTACCTTTTAATAATTTGCATTATTAGAGGACAGACCTCTTAAAATTGTATTGCAGAATGCTTTTCTTTGCTTGGAATACTTTCAGTAACCTCTTTTGTAAAATTGGCTGATGAAGATTGCTATATGAGATCTAGGTATTATTGTTGTTATTTTATTACAGATCAACAAGCATAGTGTAGTATGAAGATTAGTTATTTTGTTAAACTTGATTTATCTTTTGCAAGCAACAGCAGATGGCAATCCATCGCTGCTTGTCTTTATGTGACTTAGTTTTTATGGAGCCTTGGAAAAATATAAACTAGTGCTATTTATGGGATGTGGTCCCAAAACAAAAATGAATGTAGCTTTGGATAGTTGAAAACTGTTGAAGATGTAATGAAAAACCCTCTGGCTGTCCTTCTCCTCCTCCTTTCTCCTTCTTCTGGATTGTAAAATCTACCTTTGAGAGTTTAATGGCAATAATCCTTGAATAGGACTGTTTGATTGTAATGTGTTGGATCTAAAAATGTGGTCTTGTTTATCCTGTATGCAATGTAGTCAGAAAACAAATGAATATGAATTGTGCACAGTGGGTAAAGGAGTGGTTAACTAGTTAAATTCAAATGGCCTTGAAGTGTGTGCTTATACCCTGAAAACTGACTCTTTAAAAATAGCATAATGGATGCTGGTGTTTCTTTTTTACTGGCTTCCATGGTGAACCTGCTTGGTTTCCAAGTAAAAAGATGGTATATTTATATTTATTTTACTCCTCACTGTCAGACTAGATTGAGTTTCCAGTGCTGACTCTAGTATTACCGATAAGTAAACTCTCTTCATCTGTAAGTTAATCATTCTCGTGATATGTAAACCCGCATATAATTCAGTATTATTTTTGCTGCGGTAACAGGGTTAAAAAGTAGTTTAACATGTACATAAACAAGGGCCGGATTCTGTCTTTAGGTAAGCACATGCAACTCTTGCTGAAGTCTGAGAACGAAGGTCTCATTTTCACATAATCCTCTTTTTTTACTCATGTCCCTTTAAATGTAAAATGGGAATTCAGATAAATTTTATTTTCTATAGGCTATTTTCTCACATTTTTTTTATTTCCCTGTGTTGTCATATTTACTGAAGCTACCAGTGATATTAATCCATATTTGCTAGATGCTTATAATGAGTTTTTATTTTCTGATGACATCAAAAATAACTTTGGGATAGTAATATTTCCTCTAAAGATTTTTCCAATCCAGCATTACACCTAAAATGTTGATAGAAAATATTACATTGCTTGCATTTCTCAGAACAATAATTGTAAAGGAACTCAACCTTCAAGAAATAAGATTAAAAATAGCCTCAAACCACAATTCATATAGCATTTTGACTGAGTAACAAACCCACATAATTAAAAAAAGTTCCGATAAAATTGTAAATTAAACTAAAGTTTTAGTTGTTGTAAATCTAAGCCTTCTTAATTTAAAAGACAAATTAACTATTTGTATCCTCCAAAGGAAATATATTGTAATATTTCTCTGATTGTTTGTTTAAATTTTAATAAAAGGATAGCCAAGGGTATCTGAAATCCAACTTATGTGCTTCTCCTGATCTTGGGTCAGTTAGGGGTTGCTCTGTCTTTGCCCTGGCTAGAATGGTTCCTATGGTGTGTGTTTCATGCTTTGTCATTTATGAATTGGATCTGCTCTTCTTAGCTGATTTGTTTTGGGGAGAGCCATTCCCTGATTTTGTGTTCGTTCTTGTTTTGACCCTGAAAGGCCAGGCACACTCAACTCCAGATATTTTCAGTTATTAAGAAGATGATTTATTTAGGGTAATCAAATATATGTAGAGTAGCTTGTAATTCCAGACTTCCTGTAGCACATCAGTTGGTTTCCTGAAAACTAGCCTGTGGACAGCATAGGATTTTATGATAGATAGCAGAACATTCTGGCTTTGTATAACATTTATCACATTTCTTATTTGAGTGCATTTATACACGTACAGTGCTGCAGCTGTGCTACTATAACACCGAGGCCTTGTTTACACTATAGTTTTGTTGGCAAAACAGTGGAGGTGTACACACTGCAATGTTCTTCCTGCCAAAAATCTTTTATTCTATGTTGACAAAACAAAACCATCTCAATGAGAATGATAGA